GTCATCAGATATGCAGCCGTTGGTGATTTTACACCACATAATAATTTATCTGCTTTTGCACGATATTTTAAGGGCACTGCACATCAAGCCATCAACATTTTAAACCCCTTAGATGGATGTTAAAGTCCATTAATAATTCTGCGCTCCAACTGTCCAGCGTTATGGATTTTCCATCAGTGTCAGATGCAGCTGAGGAGATGGATCATAGAAGGAACATGTAAAACAGAGGCCGCTGACAGATGCCTATTGATCAACATTGAAATGTAAGATTAAGTTTGGAGGGAGATTGGGTTAATACACACGTTATACTAAGATAGGTGATCATTGAAAAGTGTAAATTAATCAAGAACTGTCAGACTAAAGATTTTCTGGATTATCAAATACCATTTTAGTTATAATGCCACAATATTCATCTAATACACATTTGTGTTTGTTTGTGGCCACTTTAATTGAAATTATCAACAAGAAATCCTGTGTTACAAAATCCAAAAAACAGATGTGTGCTTGAATTATACTAAACTAAACTAAAAAAGATGTCTGTCCATAAATGTCTTTCGACTACCTGGGGAGTTTATGCACACAAACTACAAAGAAATCAACACGTGAGTGGTAACCATCCATCCATCCATTTTCTACCCTTTAATCCATTTCTGGGTCAGGGGGGTGACAGTCAGAGATGCCACCCAAGTCTCATAGCACCAGCCCCTCACTGACCCTCTGCAGGTGGTGAGTCCACAGGAGGACGGCTGCTCTCTGAGTGTGAGCATAGCCTTGATCTTTCAGTGGGGGCTTTGGGCAAAGTGGGGTTAAGTGTCTTGCCCAAGGACACAACGACAGCAGTCATCAGTGGGAGTCGGTGGAGAAGGTGCAGAGGTGGGAACTATTATGGTAAATCTGTCCATAACTACAAGAGCGAGTACAAATCATGACAATTTTCAACAATGACGTTTTTCTATTTCAGTGTTTTTTGCTAGATGAAGCTGCCCTGCAGAAGCATGTATATGTCGAGCTACAAACATGAGGAATGACCAAAAATGACTGTCTGGGAGCCTCTTCAGTTGTGCACAACCTCAGTCCCATACAACAGCCTGAGTCCTCGATCTTCAGCCTGTCCATGTGGGAGCGGATCCCAGTGTGGCCTCCCTGAGGTTTCTCACTTTTTCCGACTGGGTTTTGAGTCATTCCTTGCTGATACAGGAGGGTCTAGGGACAGTAATGATCCCAGACGTTTTACAAGTTTATGAAATTGTATTTACATTTATGGACAGAGGTCATCCCGCTCCCTATAGACCAATGGCTATGGGTTAATATTTTTTTTTGAATATGTTTGATTCTGTACAAAGTTGTCAATTAACAACAGGTCAAAGTACTCCGAGCGGACTGCTATTGTGATCTAGGGCTAAAATCTAAAACGATACTTAATGTCACAACTTGTTAGTGATTATATGTTTTTGTTTTGTCCGACACCTGCTAGACCTATTATGTGTCCATGAACATCTCTCATACGCTCTCTCTGCCCACTCGACAGTTTTGGCATACGTTTTACTCAGGGACGTGCAGTCAGGGGAGGCAGGGGAGGCAGAGCCTCACCTGCCATTATTGGAAACTAATAATTATTTTAGTTTAAATATATAATTTATATCCACTGTCCTATGCTTTTAATGTATATTCGGCACGGTTCCCATCAGTTTTGATCATTTCTGAAGTCAAAATCGCCGAAATCCCGTTATTCCTATTCAAAGAGACGAGGTGAGGCAGCGCTCCTGCGTGCCTCACCCCAGACCGCTCCCTCACAGTGTGTGTGTGTGTGTCTGAGTGCACTCAGCTCGTGCAGTTGATATATCACCGTTTGTTTCAAATATCCTGCTTTAAAAACATTTTTTAAACTCCTCTTAGTGTTTAGTAGTGTATTGCACGTATGTGTGTACAATTTATATTTAGTTTAAGTCTTTTGATCGTAGATGAACACACAAGGAAAAAGCTTGGCGTGAGGCAGGCGGTATCTGTGCCTCACCGCTAGGGGTGATAGTGAGCATAAAGTTCATACCAGAGTTGCTAACAAACAATCAGCCCAAAATGCTATTTCTTTTGCTGGAAAATGGATGATTTGAATGAAGATTTTTTTTCTCAATTGGACTTTCAAACAAAGAAAGAATTAATATAGACTGGGAGACCACCACTGGACTTACGAGGTTAGTCCGGCTGCGGGGGAGGAGTTTGTTAATCTGTGTTTTATGTTGAACATTGACAGATACCGGCAAAGTAGTGCTTTTCCGAAAAACACTGATTCAAACACTGCTCAAGAGTTCTGCAACTTGTTTAAATTATTGTTTATGTTCCTCGCGTCTCTCTCTCCTCGCGTCTCTCTCTCCTCGCGTCTCCGTCTCTCTCTGCTCCTCGCGTCTCCGTCTCTCTGCTCTCTCTCTGTCTCTCTCTGCTCCTCTCTCCTCGCGTCTCTCTCTCTCGCGTCTCCGTCTCTCTGCTCCTCTCTGTCTCTCTCTGCTCCTCTCTCCTCGCGTCTCTCTCTCCTCGCGTCTCTCGCACCTGCGCTTCTTAAAGATGTTGTTTGATGCGGAGCAGAGTCAGCAGCTAGATTTGTTGTGAGATTATTAAAAGAAGCTGGTTCTCTTATCTTTACAGTATATAAAGTTTGTGGATGTCATTGCATTGGTGATTAAATGCTATTTTATTTGAATAATGATTGTAAATCTGACTTTTAAAGTCAGTGCCTCCCCAATCACAAACCTCACCGCACGTCCCTGGTTTTACTACACCTTTGTGGTCTTCTAACCCCCTCAGAACCTGTCAGTCAAAAACCACAAGTGTCTCTGCAGACAAAGACCACACAATTGGTCTTGGATTGGTCACTGCACTGGTCACTGCACAACACAATCAAATTGAGCTGAAACTGCTTTTTCAACCATGATAAGACCCTTCTTCCTCAACAAATTCCTAATAAAACCACAGTTTACACTAATGTTCATGGGGTGTTGATGTGTGCCAGGACTTTTTTATTTCATTTGCACCTCATCAAGTACTTGCTGGTGTGTGTTTCCGTGCTTTACAAGTTGAAATCATCAATCCGCCTTCGTAATGGGCCAAATATGACTTTGATTCATTCCAACCCCTTTTCAAACTGTATATTTTATTTGTGATTATTTTGTATACATTGTATGTTTTGTGAACTATACATGGATAATACTACTATTGCCCCCACTGTGGATACAACTTTTCTTAGACTATTACCAAAGCAATGTTCTTGAACTCTTAGGATACAAAAATATAAATTAAGAGCTACTTACTTTCAGGGTTTATCACTGTACACAGAATAACACATAGTGACTCAACTGTAGAATTATCCTTCTCTTATGTACCATACTTCACCACATCTTCCATGGGTTCATTAAAGACAGTGGCAAACAACATTGACATAGTCGTAGTTTTGTTTGAGCAAAGCAACCTTTGGAGCAGGCAGACCCAAGTAAACAAAGTTGTCATTAATTATTAGGAAGTATGGTTTTAGCACCCGTCATCTCAAATAGTGAGTGAAATATGTCAACCTCTTTTTGCCATACATGATGTAACCATTAGCAACCACTGAACTGTAAGTGCATAAAAAATGAATAGTAGAAAGTTCAGAGACCGAACAGGCATGCCATTGGAGTCAGGTCATGAAAGGGCAGATTTTGGGCTGTCAAATTCTTCAGTTTATTAAAACATTCATCATAGGAAAACGGCTGAGAGATTATTATTTTTTTCTCAAGGTTGATGGTTGTGGTTTTTTTCCTCCAACTGGCATTGTGCAATCTGTGAGTCTTTGAACAAGACAGTGATAAAAATCATCCTTTTAACCCCTGTTTACCAGCTCTGCCTATAGTCACATGTATGTGCCGTCTAGAGGTTATATTATACATGTGTTTTTTTGTTCTTGAAAACCACTAAGCCCTCTCTCAGATTCGGACCGTTCCCTCCCTCAGACAAAGCAAATACGCCTGGCTGCTGTAAGATTTTTTACTATTATTTATTACTCATGTCACCTTGATAACCTCCCATCGCCTTGCAGGAATGAATGTGTATTTGTGTATACATTTTATATTGTTAATATTATTATATTATGACTATTATTTGTTATTTGAGTCAATACTGCTTAAAAAATGCATAGTGATTTTTGTTGAAACAGACAATGTCATTAAAAAAACATTTGTATTCTGATTGATACACAAAAGCATGAAAAAAGATATAGGGTGTACTACATTTTTTATTTTTTTATCATCATAGGATTTTTTATTTTTTTTTAAATATCACTTCTGTATTAACCTCCATTCTAATTCCCTGGTTTCTTAAGAGGTGCAAACTTATGAGGACAAATCAACAATGTGTTGATGTCTCCAGGCCCCATGCTGACGGTAAATAAACTTGTTTGCAGAAAGAATTATTTCCTCTGCCGACACTGCTCCACACAAGAGTATATCAATCTGAGCGCTGGTGGGGGAGCAGTCATGGTGACCAAGGGGAATGAGAGATCTGCAAAAGACCATGTTAGTATTTCTTGATAAGCAGAACAGCCATGCAATTTCAACTAGGGCTGAAATTATTAACCACATTGATAGAATGAGTCCATAACAAAAAAAGCACTTTCTTTGATTATGCAGATTTTCAAAACAACCAAAGCCATGCAATGCAGGACTGAGGCGGCTCCCAGGCAGAGGGATTTCAGCCACAGTTTCAGGCATTTGAAGATGTATAAGCCAGATTCAGTTTCCTAGAAAAAAAACCCCAATGAATTTATTGATAACGTGCTCTACAAAAAAAGATGTCTGCAGTCTTCAGATCAACCAAACAACTATGCTTTGACTAGTAGTATTTTCCTCTGGTCCAGGTAAAGTGTAATGCATTGTGTTACATAAGCGCTGTCTGTGGTGCGAGGTATTTAAACCAATTAGTCCATGTGGAGTCTGGGCTGGTCTGCTCATCCTAATGCAGCACGTGTCTTTTCGCTGTCAGCTGCTCCTTCTCACCGTCCCTCCACAATCATCTCTCTCACTCTCTCTTTTCACAAAAAACTCGTGCGATCCTTGGGTCTTTTGTGCAGAAGGAGTAGCGGGCATGTTTGCCAGCCATATGGTGGTGCCAGGGGCGTCCGCAGCAGATGTGCCCTGCATTGGGCTCTGCTCTGTCAAGCACACACTCAGCATAGACGGGAAGCGCAGGCCGAGGGGAGCATGGCTGAACACAAGAGGTCACTCACTGATGACATTATCTACCACACAGTCAGGCAGCAGGGCAAAGCACAATAGGTCTTCAGCACTGGGCAAAATGAAGGCACAATTGGAGTGATTGAATAATGAATGTGATGTTATTTCCTGAGCATTCCAAATATTCTAACCCTGTACTTTAGATCTGAAAGTTCTAAAGTAAGTTGTAAAGTAAAGTTATCACTGTTGTTTATCTGTCTGTTTATGTGTCTGTTTTTCTGTGCGCAAACAGAAAGTTATGGGTGAATTGGTACAAAACGTGCATAATGGTCCAGTGAACAACTAATTAAATTATGGAGGTGATCTGAATTACCGTTTCAAAGCAAGATTTTTTAAATGATAATAATAATGCATTGGTTCTACAGTATATTGCGCTTTTTGGACACTCACAGACACTTCACATGTCATTATTCATTCACTCTATACACAGCTGCCCTGGGGCACACTGACATAATCAGTATGAGGCAACCAGTATGTGCCATCGGCCCCTCCGACCACCACCAGCCATTCACGCACACACTTTTATCCATGGAATGGTGAGCTTTACAATGTCCTTAAATTTGTGTTCCACTTTGAGTTATTTTTGACACCGTCTTTGTGAACTTGATCAGTCTATGATGCCCGAGCGTTCTCTTTTTTGCCCCCGAGGAGCGTCAACTCAGCATGTTCGTTTTGATTTTTTCCTGATATTTTTGCTGAGTAGTGGGAGAAAGGCGAAGGAGTGTGCCTTTTCCTAGTGTGTGGTACAGTAAAGTTTGCTGTGAATGAAATGGGATGTAAATTTGAGCAGTGTGCAGAATGAGAATGTAGCCTGCGCCCCTGTGCCTGCTGAGCCAGCGCTTGACCTACATCAAACATCCAGAAGCAGCAGAAGTTAAAAAAGCATCTCGTTGCTGGTCAACACAGAGGCAGAGAAGAACCAGGGCTCAAAACGTAACATTTTGCCGCGGATTACCATTTCAAACAAACCGCAATGGAGCAGCACTCTGACAGGCAGTGGACGACCTTTCGACTTGGCTAGATAAAAAGTTGAATTTAGAACAACCATTGAAGTCAATCATGAAACAGAGTGGAACTTCCTGGTATAATTTTACCAAGGATTTCTTTGGAAACCTTAAAACTTAAATTCAACAGAATATTGCACATTAACCTTTTTTAAAGTCTGTTCTTTTTCATTTATTTATCGCAGTTCAAGTTTATCCTCACATTCTTCACAACATCTAAACTCCACTGCCAGTCTGCTGCTTTTATTACATACAAGACAAAGAAGGATACAAGTCTATGCTCATAATGCAAATTGTTTTCCATCAAAGTAATGCCAATCCGCATTCTAAATAAATCTACTCTCTAAAAATCTACAATCTACTCAGAGTCAGCATCTCACAGACCAAAAGGTTAAAAGTTCAAAATGGTTGACGAGACAGTCTGGTCCAGGACTTTATTCTCTTACACAGAACTGTTTGTGGTCGCAGCTGCTTGCAAAAGTGCTAATACAACTTAAACACGTTGCACATTTTCTCATGTTTGCAAAGTTGTTGTTATTTTTCTAAATATCAAAATGACAGACCACAAAATGCACAATAAAAATGATTCAGATGTTGTTATAAAAAACAAAAATAGACAGAAAAGCATACAAGTTTCATACACATCATACACGCTTTGCACACAAGAGACTGTTGTACCCATTTATTATTACAGAACAACATCATCTCAGTTGGATCAGAGGGAGAACGTTTGTGAAAAGAAGTTTCCTGGTCTTTTCACAGATTTTCAATTAAAACTCAGTCTGGATTTTGACCGTGCCTTTCCAACTATGTGCTATTCTAACTCTTTTGAATCTTTGTATTTATTCCATCGTAGTTCTGGCTGCTGGAAGTAAAATTCCCCCCTGTGATCAGGTGTTTTGCTGACTTCAGCAAGCTTTCTTCCAAAATTGCAATATGTTTGGCTATCAATATCAATATTATCATATATTTTGTAAATCCATAGCATGATCCTCCCCCTGAAATAATCAGCCACTTGGGATGCAGCACTGAGGACGATGAGCAGGTTTATTTATGCGCCACTCTGTCCATAAGGATTTGCATTTGGGCCAAACAGTTCTATTTTGGTCTCTACTGACTAAAGCACCTTCTTCCACGTATGCAGTAGTGTAGTAGTTATACACTTTCTTTGTGGTTTCACTTAATGCTGCCCAATTCCTGTCTGATGACAAGAATGTGATCATTTATATTGAGTCAAAACTGCAATTATGCCAGGTCCGTCTTCATGTTTCATTGTGATTTATGTTTACAGAAAGGTCCCGGTCTTTACAACACATTCATTGGATAAAGCCAAGTATTGCAGACTCCTCCAATGGCTGTAATGACTGTAGTATATCTATGGAGACATTCTTATAGACTTCAAGGCCCACAGCGGGGGATAGTAACAAAGAGAGGAACAGTACATAAATCTTAGCCGGCTGTTATTGCTTGGGACTATAGGACTTTGCCCAAACACCTGCAGAGCACTGGTCCCGTGTGGTTGGACTGAGAGAATCACTGTGGATATTTGCACGGCTTTAGAATGGACAGACAGGGACAGTGGAATCGTATATGTTTTTTGACATTTACAGTGTACATTTGAATAATAGAAAGTTCATGTTCCTGCACTTTCTGTTATTCAAATGTACACTGCAAATGTAATATAACAACTATATCCAATGTGTGATACTGAATGTAATTATGATACTTTTCATTCATATCGCGCTTTTTTCAGTTAGTGTTTCAATTTGTGAGCTCAGGTCAAAAAAATGTCAGTGTTCCCCAGGGCAGCTGTGGCTACAGTAGTAGTTCATCACCATCGTGTATGGAGTGAATGAATAATGAAATGTGAAGTGTCTTTTAGTGTCCAATAAAGCGCTTTTGGACACCCCTGATCAAGTTACAATTTAATCTGAGCGTAATTCAGATTTTGATGTGACCACATATAAAATAGGTGCTGTACTTGATTCTAAACATTACTCAAATAATTTACATTTGACACAGAAGAATTATATATAACCTCCAAACCAAATACCAAGCTTGAAATCAATTTGAATGTTGTCATTTTAGGGAAATGGGGCAACTTTCAGCTCGACAATGTGCTTTTGTGGAAGTCGGCTTATGTCACGGCGGTGTTTTGACATGTGCCACTTTCCCATCAGGTGTCAGTCATTCTCTATCACAACAAACAGAGATTCTTACGTCTGCTGTTCGTCTGAATGGGTTTGGCACTCTTGGACCATTGTCACCCGTCACACAGGACTTCATGAAGACAGCTGCCAAATCACAAAACACTGCGGGCCCATGCCAGTCATGTGGGCTAACGGCAGATCAGCGAGAGTGCCAGGATGATAGATTTATGAGCAGACTGACACAGGTTTGCCAAACTTCACAGGGAGCCAAGGAACACAGATACTACATGCAGAGTCTCCGGGTACAAGGTGGCAGGAGCTTGATGGTTTTTGGAGGCCTTCACAAATAAACAAAATATGATTTTTAACTGTTATTTGAGGCTGTATCAAATCTCTGTAATTCCATCACCGAAAACAATTTGTACTGTTTGTAATGCGAGGATATTTTTCTCAACTGTTAGAGAAGGGATTCAACCGTTTAATTTGATGCATCATTTATCTGGTGAATATTGTTTGGCGAAATGAATTAGTTGCTTATTTTTTTTACCAGTATATTGATGCCACAGAATAATTATGGGATTTATTTTCATCAGTAACTATCCACATACCGTGTATAACAATTACTCAATTACCAATTGATTTAATCAACAGGAGACTGCTATGTCCCTCCTGCAGCCGTTGTTTTACTGTGTCTTGCAAAAGTGCTAATACAACTTTGCACATTTTTTCTCATTTCCGAATAATGGATTGAAAAGCCAGGTGATCTGTGAGATGTTCAAAAGCTCGGGAAATCTTCTGATAACGCTGCTCATAACACTGCTTTAAACTTCTCATCAACTTTATTCCTGATCTCTCTGGTGGGCTCCTTGGACAAAAAAGGAAAAAAAGGAAAATAATTATAATTAGTAATATCAACAAAGCAGTTTGCTTTCACTCAAAAAATAAACATTCAAAGTAAAATCTTGACGTTTATGGTTATACAGTACATACAAGCCTGGCCTTCATTATATCCACCATGGTAATTTTTTTTTTTTTTTTCTCGTCACCATTGAGCAATGAACATCTACTGTATATCTCAATATTATTGTATATATCTAACACATTGTCCACTATAGAGCCAACTGCATCAGTCATCTGCTCCAGTAATGACATTCACGTCTTCTCAAAGATCTGACTGATTTCGTGGGGTAAAATGATGCGTTATTAACATTGAACGGAAGCTTGTGGTGATGATGGTGCTCCACAGAAGTTGTTGCGTTGTGAATGGTGGGGGCTGCACGCGCGTCACCATCTGTTTGTGCTGCTTTAGCCGTAGTCTTCCAATGCCCGGGCTTATCTCTGCACCGGGGCAATGGCCTACTTTAACCTTCTGCTCAGCCACTGCACGTCGGCCCGCACAACTCTCCTTCGTAAGCAGCCACGCACAGAAACTTTCCTGAGTTTTATGACAACGTTATCTGTTTTAATTTATTTCTATTTTACACAAATGCAATCAAAGCTATTTCAATATGTATTTATTTCTGTATTATGAGCTCACATGCTGCTGAGTAATACATGAAAATTAATAGTAATTTTCTTTTAAAATATTGTTTTGGTAAAATATTGAAATTATATCATAGCCAGATATATGGTCAGAAAATGGCCAAATGAATACTGTACCTTTCTGCAATGGTCTAAGCTGTATTACCTAGCTGTATTAGTAACTTGTATAACTGCATTACAAAACAATATTATAGAAGTAGTAGGATAAGCTTTACTAGAAAACAATGATAGACAGAAGGCTAGTAGTATGGTGTGTACTGTAGTGGCTTATGAAAGCAATAAGCCGTGCGTCAGACTGTACTTCACAGCAGAGCATTAGGGATGTGGTCTGGGGTAGTAGGCCCTGTTAGTGAGTTGGCTGCTATGGCTAATGGGTCAACTGTAGTGGGCGGGGCGGGGATGAGAGGAGGATGAGTAGAAATGCTTTTTATTGGCCAAGAGTTTGTCAAAGGAAGCAAAAAGATTAGCATGTCTTTCCAGATTTGAGACAGTATTACTTTTAATTTATTGCACATGTCAATTCATTATTAAGTATGGTAATTGATTTATGCTATTCTGTATCAGGGAATGCTGGGAATTTTATAGACTTCTGTCAGTCTTGTTGGCAATATTATTGTTTTCTGGTCCTGCTTTAGAGCGCTAAATGGCTTCACATGATCAATTGCTGATGAAAAAATAAATAAAGAAACAAACAGGGAAAAGCAAAACACAAAAGTATTTTCACAAAATCTTGATTATTGACACTTAACACAACCAACCAAAAAAGATTGTTCTATATTGAGTTTTTCTCAAGTAAACATATTTGACCGATGAGAAGCATTTCATTGCATAGTTGCATTTTATTCAGTTTAATGACATTTCTCTTAGTGATGCTGAAATATGATTATAGACAAGAGGGTAATAATAAGAAGAAATTGGTTTCATATAGCGCTTTTTTGTAGACTGAAAAGGCTTCACATGGCACTATTTATTCAATCCATTGTTAGTTATGGTGAACTATAGTAGCCACAGTTACCGTGAGGCGGACTGATCGAAGTGAGGCTGCCAATCTGAGCCATTGGCCCTTCCAATCCCCACCTATCATCCAAGCACACACCAGTTTCACACTAGAAATTGTGGATGATGTGTCTTGCCTAAGGACACACCACAAACATTGCAGGCCCCTTGGATTACCAGCGGACTCCCATCACCTTATTAACCAGGCCCTGTCGCTTACATGCCGGTGTATAGCTACTTAGGCTATAAACTTTTTGGAGACAGAAACGCTTCATGTCTCAACTTTATACACTTATACTTGTTTAAAAGCCACCTCCAGTCACATCACATCTGTTCATTCATGCAAGTGGAGAAAGTTTAGGACCTCACATAAACCTGGCTTGTGGCTCTATTTTTACCGTGCTTTGAACACGTCTCTCGAAGCATCAGCGTTCAGCACCTGAGTTTCTCCGTGTATAAACACCCACCATGATGGCTCAGTCCGCCTCTGGTGCCTCTCTGCTCTACTTGGGACAGTGGCACCATTGGGTCCCTCGCAAAAGAACAGCTCTGTGCTCCATCTATGCGTGGGCACAGGTGTCAGGCAGGAAATCATGTGCGGGCGCTTATGTTGAACTCCATGGCTGCCCTTTTCACTCAATTAATCTCACATTCCCACGTTAAGAAGACGCTTAGGCAATCACAATCGCCATGTGTGTCCAAAGAACATTTCAGAAAAAAAGAGGTGGATTTGACATGCAATGGGTGGCCAACTGTTTTGCCCAAAGCAGAAAGATTCTTGATTTTCTGCTCGATCTCTTTCCCTTCTTCTCGACTTACATCTTAGAGGCGCCGTAGCTAACTAAAGGTGGCTATCACGCAGAGGATCGGCCAACTGTCGTCTTGGCAGGGACAGAGCAAGTTAATTGTAGCGTTTAGAGAGAGTTAAAAGGACAGTCTTGTTATCTACAGCTTAGACAGACCAGGTAAATGTTATAATTTCAACTGCAGATGGAGAACATACCTGTAAAGCTGTCAAATCTTGAAAAGGGAATTATATTATATTAGAGGGTATTAATATAGAAGAGCCATGAATTAAAAACAAAAGATGTGAATGTTACACATAGATGTGAATGTTAACAGGGAAAAATCTACTTCAGATTACGATTCATATTTTTTGCCATTTGCAGTAAAACCACATTGGAATACATTTGCAAAAGTCCCCAGTGTGCACCATTCAAGTACATACATAAAACAAGGTAACTTGTACTAGGTACAGTAACTCTACTAATAAGGTAATTATTCTGTGAATGCTATACAAATGTGACTGAGCTCAGGAATAGCATCTTAAAATGTCAAATACTTGACAATATTCATGGCAAGACTACTTTGGAATTCAACCATTGTCATTGGTTGAGCACTTTAGAGAATAAAGTGAAAAAAAGGCTTCCATTTAAATAACTGTTTCCACACAATCCTTCCTCATTCTCTTTCCCTGTCTTTCTCCGTCTCATCATCATCAATCACTTCTTTTTAGCAGGTGGATCATAGTGTCTGTATATGTCCTCACGTCCCATCCCACCAGCGGAGCTGTGCCAAGGCCTTGTCACAACCAGGCATCTGTTTGAAAGCCAAATAAAAGTACAGCGCCTATGAATAAAAGAGCTCCATGAATAAAAAAAAAACATTGAATGCAAATGACTCCGCCAGCGAAGATTGTCTCTGTATATCCAGGAGTGTTGCATTCACTCTGCATTAGTTCCGTTTCCTATCATAGCTGCACCTTAGCCTGACTGACACATTTTTCCCTCTGCTTGCATGAGGTGTATCTCATGCATTAATCAGCGGTAGTTTTGACACTTGGCTGTGCGAGAAAGGAGGAGGAGAGAGAGAGGATGCATCTACCTTTCACTCTGTAAGAGCACCACAAGCTTTGCCTGAGGTGACTTTATCAATTAGGGCTCCTTGGTAACAGGCGCATCCTGCCTCCCCGCGAGTATATGCTCCGCCCAGCTCTCTCTTCATCGCCTCTTCCTCTGTGTCCCCTTCAACAAGGAGGCACATGAATCTTTGCATGGGCCTTGTAATACAACCAGAATGGAGGTTTTGCCCAAGGGCTAGAGGCTGGGAAGGAAAAGTATCAGCAAAGATTGAGTGGTGGTTTTATGACTAAAAGCAGGAGCAAAGTCAAAGCATCCTTGAAAAGTGAAGTATTAAAGAGCAAATATTCTGAAAGCAGTTACTTGAAGGTAGGGAGACAGACCAACAGTTTACCCAAGATATTGAAGTGCACATTGGCAATGCTGGTAGCATTTTATGTTAAATTGGTAATCCTTGTGAAGTAGAAGTACTGATAAAAGCTAAACCTGCTATGACTTCAAATCTTTAAGAACTAATGCATAACTACTGAAAAAAAAGAAAGACAAACTAATCTACTCCCTAAATCATCTCTGCTTAAGCTGCAGGCCTGCCTGCGGGCACTGCCCCGGATAGGAGAAGATGCATCGAAAGAATGCAATTATGTTCAAAAGCTGGAAAGAAGAACACTTTCTTCCGATTATTTTTGATTCTTTATTGAAATTCCTGCCATCCACCCCTGTGTGCACATGGTAAATCTGATGGAAGACCCTCCATCTCACATAGATTCAATATTATCTTTCAGAACATGTACAAACTCAGTCCATTCTGAATCACTGAAGAATGTTTTCCTTTTCCCACTGGGTTTCATGGAGTTTTGCCATGCATAGGCATATCGTTCTATTTAAACCATGACTTTTCAAGTTGAATTTTACATAGGCGCTACTAGAATATATTGATTAGATTATACATAAAGGCATCTCTTGCCCAATCAATAATGATCCGTCCAACATCGACATAAACTTGAGTTCTACTGTATGTCTTGAGCTAGAATGTGGATGTTACACCTGGCAATGGCACCTACTGGGATGACCTAACATCACTCACTTCACAGTGGAAAGGTGCATTTTAAGGTCTATGTGTCTTGTAAGTGTCAAATGGGGGTCTGTAGTGGATGCCTGGGCTCGGGTGGTGCGTCCTGTTTGCTGTCAGTCAGTGGCTCTGGCCCATGTCCTGTACAGCTGTGCCTCAGGGCTGCTCTGGGCTTCCAGTCAGAGCAAGATGTTTGTTGACAGAAAAATACTATAGTTTGGCTCGGTCAATTTGTGTGGGACAGACAGTTCATTTGCATTACACATTTACACATTAGCCTGGAGGCACATACGGCGCTGTGGGCATATACAGCGTTTTCCTGGAATAGACAGCACACACATGGACATATTCCTTCAAATTTTGGATAAACTGCTGCAAAAAATGTTTTAAATGTACTTGTCTTGATATTTGAAAAGGAAGAAAAACAACTTTTGCTCACTGTACTTCCATACACCAGATGCAACAATATATTTTGTTTCCTTTTCAAATTGGCAAAGCTGTGTGCAGAGCCTTCTCTTACACACCTGTCACAGAGTCGGATGTGCAAAGTTTTCCGTTCTCTAATATTATTTTCCAGAGTAATAAGCAATGTTCTCCTTATTTCAAGTAAATCAATGTTGCATACTTGATTCATTGGGGTCAAGTCAAATCTAGATCCCTTATAACTTTGTTTTTACTTAATTTGACTGATTGTTCTGTGAGTTTGTCTTGAGAATCTTATACATTATACACAATTGAATCAAATCTGGCTGTAGCAGTTGTTTAGATCTATTTTACACAGTTTATGTGATGCCAAATTTGTTATGGTTGTTTAATCATGCTGTTTATGTCACATAAACCTCACTTTAATCTTCAGAAACATTTGAATTATTGAAGCTGGTCACATGCTTAGATTTGGCCCGAGCTCTTGGACAGTATTGGATCTCTGCATGTTTTCTTGTGAAAAATCAAAATGGTAAGCAGGTAAAATGCTGTGTATAGTTCATTGTAACATCCCACCACAGCCTCAGTCTATTCAAATAGTACTCTTTACTTGTTGTTCTTTCTTTTAGTGCCTGCTTTGAAGACTGTAGGCTATAGGAAATGTTATCTGGGTGGCCACATTTGACTGAGAGGCGCTTACCATTGAGTCCTCACATATCAAGCCCTTCACAGTATGCTTTGTGGAGGAGTGCTTGACTACCGGACACGCTTCCAGCTTTGGCAGAAGAAGTGCGCAATAATGAGGCAATGCCAAGCAACTACAAGCTCCTCTTTAGGTTGGTGAGCTGTCAAGACATCTTATAGCTCTCCTCAGATGTGTCCCTTAAGGGCTACCATCCACAGCGCAGATGACACACGCTCGATAGCTTTGAGTCAGAGCTGATATAGGGACAGTGGGTGGTATCGCTGGTTGGGTGGGCATGTGTCCCCGCTGAAATTGCGCATATATTTTCATGCAGGATGTCCGCGGTTGGGGGAAGAAAGTGCAAGTTTGTCGAACGGTCGGTCGTTGTAGCTTTACGAGGCAGAGTGTGCGGATGTTTCCTGATTCAGTGTTTTGGAATGAGCCCTCCAGCTGTTGTAGGCCTTAGAGAGAGATGCGAGCACAAGACTTAGGGGTAAAAAGATGCTTCTTCCATCTTCATTACCGCCTCAAGCTTTTTACGAATTCACCTTGTACCACCTCAGATGGGTGTTTTTGTATTGTACGTTGAATTTAATTGTCTTTTGGGGGAAAGAGACCACAAATATTGGTAAAGCTATATGTCTAAACTGGAGACTATTTGGGTTTTCATTTTGAAGGAAGGACAAATCATGCAAGATTAGTAAGTCCTACGAAAGCAACTAGAACAGCCATAATTACTGATTACATTGTTGGTTTTCTTCTATGGCACACAGACATTTTGTTGTTGAATATTTTGAACTTTTTTACATCAAAATGGCTTAGGATTAACAACAACGATATGAACAAACTCTGTGTATCCGAATAATAAAATAATAAAACAGAGCTAAAGCACATTATAAATGAAAGCAGGCTCTTTCCACATTAAACTGTACTAATTAGTTACATTGGGTCAATAACACAAAAAAGCCCTGAAATGTCCGCGGCCGCTACTGCCCAATATTTGCAGCCCCCACTCTTGTTTTATTCCAGCTTGTTTGTCCAGTGAAGGGCGCACTACTTAAACACTGAACCGTTTCCGCCCGTACTATTAAGAGCGCTCCAGACAGCCATTTTGGACGCAACAAGCAGTGGACGCGAAGTGTTATTTTGAGGCATAATGTATAATCTATAATTACAGATTGATTATAGTTATATCCCCAACCTTTAGCCATTGAATAGTCTTCCCTGTCCTGTTAATTCTTCCATTCACAAAGCCTCCAACATGACAGGCCCTATATGTGTAACAATTATGTCCCCAAAATTCAATGCAATTTTTTTGAAAGGCGTCCATTTTTCTTGAAATGGTTTTGAGCTTCCCATCTGTATATTTATCAACTACATTGTAATAAAGAATTATGACATTTTCGGTTTATGCATTTATTTTATTGCCGCTTGAAGTTGGATTTGCCTGGAGTGAGCCTACATTGAAAACAATTTAACGACTTTAATCTGTTAATTTCCCCTTAAGCAGCCATACGCAGCCATTCAGACGCTTTATTATTAGGACTATAGTGTCTCAC